TAGTTGTAATGGCATATGTTTTTGTGGTAACCGAATGCTGCAATGACAGCGGAAGAGAGGTTATGTTAGAGTCCGAAACTGAAGTTCCGTAGGGCAGTGTGTGTGTGTGTGGGGGGGGGGGTCCTATCTTCCTTACTGCCAGGAGCGCATTTTCGGTGATGCGCTAAACAGTTGATGTTCAAGCCAACCAATTCCAGAAATGGGACTCGAAGAGGTGGCTCAGGGCATCAGCTGATGCCATTGTAGTCCCTTTGACCGGGAGGTCCTAGGTTCTAGTCCCGACGGTGGCAGGATTTTCGATACTAGCTTGTTAGCTAGGTCAGATTCAGTCGCTCAGGGGAGAAATTCTAGCGGCCTGCTGCGCTGATCCGTGTAGGTTTCCGTGATTTCTCCGACTGACACCAGGCGAATGCCGGAGCGAATGCCGGAGCAGTGCTATAACAAACTGGCCACGGACCAAGCACGGACGGATCTCACCTTCCTCTGCTTTCTCTTATCCTCACCCTTTGCACACCCCTACACACACTGACTCACACACGCACTAACACTAACATATACTACACTACCACACATGCCGGGAGACCGATCAGGAGCTATGGGCTAGTCCCGGCTGGGGCGGTGCCTCGCTGGAGGAAGATACCTGGTTGGGGAAAACTCTAGCTGACGGCAGATCGGTGCTGGATCTCGCCATACAGCAGAGGAAGAGAACACCGCCACCTCTCGAGTAAAAACATGCTTACCGGACTAATCACCCTACTTGACGTGCCCGGAATCGCTAAACAATCACTCAATCCAGGCTGAGAATCCTAGCAATGAGCTGCACTGATTGGTCTTTCTTATCGTTTCCTTAATACATTGGACAGACGATTGTCGGGGCACTCTCTTTCATAAAGGGCTAGGGCGCGCGCGATTTCTCCCCCCCCCCTCCGTTCATCCACTCCGTTCCTTCGGTCTGAGCCCTATATATATATATCATTATATATATAAAATTATATTATATTTAATATATATACTAATATAGGGGATTTTCTACACGCGCACCGCCACTGCAATCGAACTACAAGCTCATTATTCTGCGCATCGCGAAGAATGCACAAAGTGCATGCAGCTCAACGCAGTGCAGGATGCATTGATAGTTGTAGTCGGATATATATAGTATATAATATACATAGAATTTTTGCATGTCGAGAGCGTTTACACATACACACACCTATATATATATATATATATATATATATATTGTTCTGGATGTATTTACTAAGTTCTGTTGATGTTGAACTTTATATTTGTAGTTATATGCTTTCAATCTAACATAATCTAATTTATAACTAACACTGAACTACATTTGATGAGGGGACTCACAGAGCATCTCAATTGGTTTGTTATATTGCCGAATATTTTCAAGAATGCTTGTAAAAGATATCTCTTTTTTATTCGAGTTTGGCGTTCTGTATATTTACCCTGTTTCATATTTCTGCTTTGATTGATCAAGTGCAAATTTGAGTAAAATATATTGGCGAGATAGGCCATATGGTAAGTGATTGGTTTGATGTTTAATACGGCGTGTGGTTGCTTGTTACAGATGCACCAGGGGGCTTGGGTGATGTATCTTAAGAATTTGTTTTGGGAGACTTATAATTTGTATATATTTTATTTGGCAGTATTCATCCTTATTAGGCAGGCATATAGGAAAAAGAGTGTAATGTATTTGAGTATGATAATGGCATAGTTTATAGTCAGTTAATAAGTTTTATTTATGAGCGGTTTCTGTTGAAGAATTTTGATCTTGTCTTGCTGAACTTTATTTTTTATGTGAGCTTTCCAGTTGTGAGTGGTGTTTTCTTTTATTTATTTACTTCAAAAACAGTTAAGGACTGTGTGTGATGTGCAATTTTTTGCACGTTTTGATAAGTCTGTGATTTCTACCCTATGCTATACACAAGTTTTTTGCACGGTTGCTAACAAAATATTCGCTTCGATGTAATAAAATATATTTTCAAAGGTAAATCAACTATGCATCTGGGCATTTATCGCGCCATCGTGTCCTTCATGAAGGAATAATACTTCCTGCTGCGACATGGTAATCCATATTATGAATAACTATATTTCCCACTGAATTCTAGAAGACAGTGCACAGATAATGAAGTTCCATTTACCTTCAGAAGCAAAACAAGGGACCATCTCAGCAATTGCTCAAGTATCAGGGAAACTGGACGAAAAACCTGATCGAGATGGAGGTCATTGATCCAGAAGCTGTGATACAACACTAGTTACGGATTCTTTAGAATTATGCAATCCAAATGGTGAATAATACATTAAATATCGTTGTTAAAATTAATATGACTTTTTTTTTGATGCTCCGTATAGTTTCTAATTGTACAGACACAGTTATGCAGCCGAAAATTTTTATTGTAATTTAAACTTTTGTATCGAATTTAATTATAAAATGTCATTTGACAAAGTGTTGTAAAACAATGTTCATGCATTATATGTAATTTTTTTGTAGTAAGCTGTTGATACTGTCACCTGATCAATATGATTACGATGTCGAGAGTTATGGTTATAGACATCGGCGTTTGCTGAAAATATATCCCCGCCCGTAAGTAAGTCATTTTTGACAAAATTCACTGATTCATATATCAAGAAATAAGGTAATTGTAAGATACCTGTATTGATAGAGAGATGCTTACACGAATCACGTGGGTGGGATTTATTATTCATACAATTATTTTTTGTAACCTAAAAGTCTGGGAGGTATAAGCTGTATTTCCTCAGAATATTATGCCATATCTCAGGCGGTAATGAACATTCGCGAAATATAAACAACGAGCAATACGGATGTTGGCTGAATTTGAAAGAATTCTGAAAACGTCGCATAAAGAACTTAATTTAGTGTTCAATTCATTTACATGGACGTTCAATTTAAGGTTTGACTGAATTGAAAGACCTAAAAATGTTATTACCTTAACATCAGTCAATGGTTCACCGTTCATTTTCGATGGAGTACAGAGCTGTTTATTTGAAATGGAAAACTGCATTGAAACCGTTTTCTTTTTATTAACTATTGTGTTTTTACGGAACCAATTTGAAATATCTGATATTGTACTATTTACAGTTTCTTTATTGCAAAGAATATTCGTATAATCCTCAAAGAGAACTGTTCTTCCGTTTCTAATCGTCGAGAGCATATCGTGAACATATAGTAGGAAGAGAAGAAAATATGTCTGTTTCCGTAGATTTATGATTTTCGAAACTCGTGTTGGCAATCGAAAACGCGTCGTCGTTTACTAAGAAAGGTTTCCATTCGTACGTAAAAAATGCTCCTGTGAACATTCTCAGTGAAGAGCGTTTTGAATTAACAAAGGAAACAATGCGAGATGGGTCTGTCTTGTTAAGAATCCAGAAATTTTTTATAACACAAGTGTACTTCCGAAGTTTAGATGAAAAATTCTTATATATAAACTTGAGATGTCCTTCTCGAACTTGTTAATGGGTTAACAACAACAACAACAATACAACTATTAACAATTATAATAAGCGCGTTTTTTTAATGTTTGCCAATATACAAAATAGTTGCAATTTGATCAAAGGTGTTTTAATACTGAATTTCTAATATGATGGCCGAAATAAGTTAATTCATTTTATCTTTAAAAATAGTGATATACCAGACTAACTCTGTGGACCTAAGGTCTATTCAAGGGTATTATTCAAAATTACAAAGGCTATGAACCTTTAATTTCACAAAAATGACAAGCAGGGCGCTTTCGCCTCCGCTTCTTTAAATAATGAAAAATAAATATATTTTATCAGCTATCTTTACTTTCTTTTTGCCTTACTTTCCCTCTACTTAAGCAATGATGAATAGTAATGATATGACTAACATTTAAATTGCCATTACAAATGAAACATTGTTACCTTTGCGTGGTGACTATCCATAATAATAATAATAATAATAATAATAATAATAATAATAATAATAATAATAATAATACTTTGTCACCTATTTACTTGGCATCGACACAGGGTCCATTGCGACGAGTCTTGCGTTGCGCCAGAATTCATGGTTTCCACCGTCATAGCGTATTGCCGGGCGTAACCAACCATAAAGAAATAGACAACGACTCTGGGAACCGAGATTCGAAACTAGGCCTAATTCTATAGTAGACAACTTTAAATTATGTTGAAAAATAGTGGCGAATTTCAATGCTATAACGCCCCAACGCCGCAAATGCCTATGACGATTCTGTTTTCCTATTGTTGCCCATGGTATCTCTTGGCCCCATCAAGGTACAATTCTACTTGATAAAAATGTACCTTCTACGTTGTGCAAGAGAATTCCTATTGTTGCCTATGACATGTAGAAAACATTGAGCTAAGTACCTAATTTTCCCGAACAAAATAAATTCCAATATTTTATATTATTTTTATTTCCATGGTAAGTAATGTCGAATGTCAAATTCGAAAATCTTTAAGGGATGGAAGTCTTAAATTATTGTTCAATGCAAAGGGTACAAAATATTTTTAAAATTTTAGCCACATATTGATATTTTTAATTCAAGCCGCCGCAAATTTAATAACTTCAATGTGTTGCAGTTTCATTATGACTCGTAATACAAAGAAAACGCGTTTATTGAGTTTCGATGTCGTGATCTTGTCGAAAGTTTCAATAAATGATCTTCGGCTAATAGCTTTTGTACAGGAAGTCTCAAATCAGGTATGTGAACAAAGCCTGGATCCTGGGGTATAGTTTAGACCTTCGGTGGTTTTTATCTTCGGTAAAAATGGGATGTGCGAATGAACGTTCAAATGGTTGAGAAATTTTCGCATTCCACCTTCATGATCCTTCTCTCTTTTTTGAAGGATTTTTAAAGGACGACATGCACTAACTTTAGCGCTAAAGAAGAAACCCTTTCTATTGTGGCGCCAACATAATCAGTGATGCCAAACCTTCAAAGAAACTGGATTTGAATTCACATATAATGGACCAAGCCAAGTTCTCTCCCTTGCTAACATGTTACGTTGGTAACTTTGTCATTGATTCCTTGGATTAAATATTGTCCAAAGACCGCTACTGTAGTAAGTGAAATGTGGGAAATTGCTTATCCGTGAATGTTGTAAGGGGTATGGAAGCATGAAAAGCAATATGTGGACGTATTTTGCTTCGTAATGTGTTTACCCACGTTTATTTGTGGTGAGACCGAACAGTGGCCTGTGAATAAGGGGAGGTTCCGAACAAATGTCCGTTAACCTAACCTAAAGTATAATTGTATAACCATCAAAGGAGTCATGGCTAGTAAACAATCTGGCGTACGACGAGTGATACCCAAGGTTGATATTGATGTTCACCTAAGACATTGTATTGGTGAGTTTATTTGTCCAAGTGACCAGTGAATATTGTGAGTGCAGGTTCCTTGATGTAGAACAATATGGAACTCAAATAAGCTGCCATTCCACCCATTTTAGAATCAACATTTTCATATGTCTTTTTATTGTGTTCATCTGTTTAATCCCTGACTTGTAATTTATTATTGACCATTTTTCAAACAGGAATGGAGTTGAATTTTAAGAAAGAACAAGCTTTTAAAAAAATACATGATTTAATTTATTGCCTTTTGACATATTGCCACAAATATTAAGTTCCTCCTGAAAGAAAGAAAAATATACTAATTTAATTTCCAAGTTTTTAATTATAGAATTGTCAGTAAAAAATATGCCTTAGATTCCCTGTTGGATTTGTTTTTTTACAATGTATCTTAAGGTAGGTAAATAATAGTAAATAAATAATGCACATCATTTATCTGAGAGAAACTAAAACATTCATCTCTTCTTGAATGTCAGTGACACTTCATTCTAATTTGGCTGGAGGCTTCTTTCATTTATTTATTTTTGCATGTATACCTCATGCTTTCTTATTCAACAAGTATGGACTTGGTACCATGCAAGGAATCCTGTATTGTTGCTTTTAAAAAACTTTTGTTATCATTTAAACAGATGAAATGTATTCATTTTGGAGAGATAGATCTGAGTTGAGAAAACCTGTAGCTCTAAAAACAAGCTCATTAGCTATGGTGTGTAAAGTGATTTTTAAAAAGCATCTTCATCTTTTAAACTTTTCTTCTCTCAATATAAATAATTTAAAAATTGTCTTCTAATTATAATTTTTTACAGCCTCCTTAGGAATCCATAAAAATATTTGTATTAAAATTTAAGATTTCAACACCACACCCTTCCCCCAAAAGTTAAAATGTCAAATTCAATTGCTATTATTTAAAAATAATGAGCATTATTGTAGAAACTTCCCTTTGACCACCAAATGTTGTTGTAGTGTTTTGCAAGTGTCAGTTTATTTTAATTTCTTCAAAACTGAATTCTAATACTTTGGCTCTGTAAATGGTTCTTGGTGGGTTTAAATATAAATGTGTGATATTAATACTTTTAGAACACTGTGACTCATCAAGTGAAGAAGATATCAGTGATGATTCGTGTTACACTGACTCCGATTGTGACTATGATGACGAAGATGATGATTTCCTCAAAGCCTGTTGTATACTTGATGATAGGCTTCTGTTGTATTTTCAGCAACTGTACACTAACAACTCTGAAAGAAAAGGTAAAAGCTTGTACTTCCTAACTTAAGCTGTGTATTTAGTTGCAGTTATAAAATTCTAGAAGTAACAAACAAAATTGTTGTATAATTTAAAAATCTCTTAATATTTACAACAAAGCTATGGCAGCAAAAAATGCAGATGAACTTGTAGCTGAAGAAGAAAGGGAGAAACGGAAGGCAGAAAAAAGAAAGGCCAAGAAGAAGCGTAGGAAAGAGAAAAAAAAGGGAGAGAAAGAGCGTTGTTCCAGCAGCAGAAGTGAACACTCTTCAGATATGCAAGAAGGATCTGAGAGAAGAAATGCAAAAAGGTGAGTACAGGCTACAAAAAGATAGAGAATTAATTACAAAAGAAGCATCAGATCTGCATAGTAATGTTTTGTTTTCTTCTTCAGTTCTGTTCCTGCACCCGACACGCCGTCATTTTCATCGACAGAAGATGCTGAAGATGGTGAAGAATTTTTAGATGTAAATTCAGCGTTTGTATCTGTAGCAGTTAGTAAAAAGAAAAAGAACAGTGCTCTTGCTACTGGAATGGAGAAAACTCGGCCTAATTCAAAAAAAACGCAGGTGAGAACTCAGATTAAATCAAACCTTTAATCTTTCATTGCCAGAGTGCTAAAAAATGTGCCTCGAATTTTCAGCAAAAAAACTCTTATTATGGGACCTTGGTAACGGTAGTTGATAAATTCAGATTCTTAATTCAGGGGGAAAATACCTCTAACACATGGTGTTTGCCTGAATCCATGTTTTGTTGGTCCTTGATACCGAAAAATCGAATGACAGCGAAACGTGATCGTCCGTCCACAACGCTAGCGGCTAAACCATTTAGCCGATTTTCTTCAAAATTGATAGTCCCCAATTGATCTTGCTGAGGTCGTGGCCCCTTGAATTTAAAACCGATATTTTAATTTTGGGGGGTGCTTGCGAAGCCCCTGCAGACATTTTCAAAAAAATGACTCCATCATGTTAGAATAAATGTTGTTGGATAGTCTGTAAGACTTTTAAGAGAATGGTGCAGATATTTTTGTTAAAAACTCTGATTTTTCGAAAATTGGGAAAATTAAATTTTGTTTCGGCGTCCTGGCAACTACAATTATTAGAGATTTATAGAGATTTTTTACCTTAGTAAAATATATTCCTTAAAGATAGGTTCTTAAATATAACCTTGTAAAATTTTTCAAAAATTTGAGTACTTTTTGCATAATTTTGCGTGAAAGTACGGGCGAGAAAATTCATTATTTCATGTTTGAAAATTCCTGTTTTAGCATCACTAGTTTGAAAAACTATTTATTTTCATGAACAGAATTGGATCTTCTGTCGTCAATGTGAAAGTTGTCTTAAAAACCCATTGCTTGGATATCTGAGGTAAACTGACTACAATTTTCCCCAGTTCAGAAAATATTGTGGAGAGATAAAATGTATGTGATTGTTTGGACATCTTTGCTGTCCCTCCTAATTCAAAATCCAAAGGCCACCACTGGTTTAAGTACTAAGACAAATTATTGCAATGCTACAAAGGAAAGCTATCTGTTCATCTGAACATTTATTGCATTGTATTATGGGGCACTGTTGTTGGCAAAGTGAATAAATCTTGTTGCTATATATAGAAAATTACTTCCTGTAACCATTTTGTAGTCAGAAAACCATGTTGGTTTATGGCAAATTGCTTGTCTGTCCAATGTCCACTGGCCAATGCTGGTGCACCTTTCAGATAGTATTCTCCAAAATATTCCCCAATCAATCTGGCCAAACTGGTGATCCTGCATATTTGAAATGGATATTTTGATTTTGAATGGTACACATTTTTGGATTATATTTCTTTTTAATTTAGAGAAGTGATCACTTCAAAAGCTATGAGCCTTATTTCCCTTGAACTCTCATAATTTATGAAAATTGGGGAAGTTAAAATATTTTGTTTCTTTCTACAACTACAAAATTAAACATAATTTTTTTTTCCCTGAATGAAATCTGTTCCTCAGAGATATATCTTTAAATAAAGCAATCTTCAATTTTTCAGAGTATTTATATATTTTGCATAATTTTGTGTCAAAAGTAGGCAATTTTTAACATTAGTTTCTAACTGGTGATGCTGAAACAGAACATACTTTCTCTCATTATTCATCCAATTATTGAAAATTCAAAGTTGAACAAAAATCAGATCTTTGCCAAATTTTAAGTCTTTTGCACGAACTGTGTAAACTTATATCCATATTAGAAGTATATATAAATATAATAATTTATGTCTTGCTTTGTTTATTCACATGCATATATATTTCTCACCGACTTTTCAACATGATTTATACCAGTTCTTACTATATTACTTTTAGTAACATTACTGGAAATACATCTCACTGTATGTATTTCGTGAGTACTATCCATAATCTCCAGTGACACATTTGAACTGACACTGTGAGGCATTATCATGTGGACCAGCCCATATGGCTGGCAGAAGAATACATTTTGCAGAGTAATGATCTAGGTCTGAAAGGTGCTCAATTGTTCAAGAATCTGTCAAAAAAAATCATCTAGTGGTCAGAAAGGCCATGTTATAATATTATAGAACCAGTTCATTTTATTTTAGAAATAATATGCTGTTGTATCTAGTTCCATTTCATATTTTTTGTTCCTGGCCTCTTGCCAGAATTTTCAAAAATATTTTAAAAAATTAGTTAATTGGATTGTAGCTTTTTAAAAGATTTGGTAAATTCTATTAAAGATGTTGGGAGATTCATTTCTTTGGTGTGGTGCAGTGATTTTTAAAGGGATTGTATTTGACACTACCTTAGTGTTTTGATTTTCATTCTTCATATAAGGGTTATAATTTTTTTCGTCATGTTGAATTTTTCAGGTATCGTGTTTGATCAGCTTGAGCTAGAGACCATTCAGAAGTGTTTGAAAATATTTCTATTTTTGGTGGACTCATAAAGCTATATTTTATGGAAATAGAGTGGTAATTTTTGCTTCAGATATTTTCTTACTACCAGAGATTAATGATATTTATGGAGTGATTTCAGAAGTTTCTGGCCTAACAAATTGTTATCAAATGTAGAAAGCAAACAACATTGTTATTTTTCAACTTAATCTCCAATTATTTCAATGCACTTTTCATGTCTTTTAATTAAATTTTGAATCTCTGTGGAAAAAGTAGTAAGAAATTTTATCTGCATTGTCATTTAAAATGGCTCCCACTTCACTGTTATCTGAAAATTTTCTTCTTTAATTTTTTTGAGTTTAAAAAAGTAACAATTTTGGAGGTAAATCAATACCTTAGTGAAAATTTGGGAGTATGAGTTTCAGGTTTCCTCTGTGAGAGAAGTTGTGATTTGTGGCTTGCACTTATACTTGGGATAATTTTATTCCTACTTCTAATTTATTGTTGCTTCAAAATTTCTTTTAGGTGTCGGCTGATCAAGTGGTTGCTGAAAGTGAACGACTTGCTGTAATTGGATATAAACTAGCTAGTAAAGAGCAGTATGAACAAGCTGTTGAGTTCTTTACTAAAGCCATTCGATTGGTTCATGACGATCATCGTTTCTTCAGCAATAGAAGCTTTTGTCATTGTCAGCTTGGAAATTACACTAAGTAAGTGATGCAAAAGTTGATATTTCAAATGCAGAAATTGGTTTTTAAAAAATGGATTGATATAGGTACCACAAGCTGCAGAAAAAATGAAATTAGGTTGTGTTTCAATTTCTCAAAGTGTGGAAGTGATTTAAATACCATTCTTTGCATGGAAGTTTTTGATGATCTTAAAGCGTGATCATTTAGATGTAAAATATTTTATTTCAGAGCTCTAAAAGATGCTGATAAAGCCATAAACCTGGCCCCAAACAATCCTAAAGGGTATTATAGACGAGGAGAAGCACTTAAGGGCCTTAATGTGAGTATTGCACAACCCCAAAACTCATTTTTTATTTTTGGAATTGAATCAGTGTGTATACGTAATTAGGTATCTGTAGCCTTAGTGATTAATAATAAATTTTTCCTCCTTGCAACTATTATTGATGCACTTTTGATTGCTTGTGTTCCTGGTTTCTGGTAGTTGTTATTAATTTTGTTTTAATTTTGGAAGAAGAAATTTAATTAAGTTTTTGAAAATTTGATAATCCAAGAGCCTTCTTTGCTGAATACATGTTGTGCCAAGGTGAAGAAAACAGAGTTTTACCCATATTACTAATTTCCCATGCAAGCAGGAATTGAAAGAAACAAAATGGAGCCTGCAGCCATTTGAGAGGTGTCTATGGTTCCTTCAGGAAATTCCAAAACAATGACATTTAAGTTTGAACGAAAAATGCGTATGCTATTGGATTGTGTCATTCCACCTATTCTCATACTTTACATACCAATTGAACTCTCATAATCAGTGTCACTGCTTACTACACAGCTGACAACATGTGACAACAGAGGTCTTATGAAGCCACCTGCTATTTCTATTCACATGTGTTTTGGAACAACCACCTTTTTGGTATCTTTGGTACATAAAGTACTTTCATTTTGTATATAGTTTACATTACTATGATACTGCAGTATTCATTAGGACTTTTTGTTTGCTTTAGTGCTTCCAATAGTGATATATTTTATATCATTGACAATCTGAATAACCATTCACACGTCAGATTCTTTGAGTCCCCCCCCTGCCCCCTCGCTGCCTCCAAGAACTAGCTCTTTCTTTTAGTGCTATACAGTTCTGAGTGAGTCTGAGAGGCTTTTCCAGTTGTCTTTTCGCTTGATCATGTGATGCCATCAATCCAACTTATCCTTGCTGACCTCATGTCATCTTGCCTCACATCATACCAAACGTTGAAGCTTTCTTCAGCTACTTAGGTTCTCATTGTATGGTCAAAGTACTTCACTTTTCCCATGGTATGTGGCTTTCTAAGGTTTTTTGTTAAAGATCGTTGCATTTGTTTTCTATGTGTGCCCTTCACCCACTCTCCAGCACTGGCTTCACCCCTCTTTTCTTTTCATGTCTGGTGGGTGGCGTCAGTGCTATTCAGTATTGTTAACTAAATTAGTGAGCACTAAGATAAGACGAGCTGATCATTTTCTGTACCATGCTTGGCTGTTCTGAAGTGTTCTCATTGAGAATACAAGTGTATATTTTCAATTGTTGTTTGTGTCTTTTTAACTATTTTAAATTTGAATTCTGTGTGTATGCTGGATGTGCTATTTCACGCATTAATGTTCACAGACCTTTTGGGTGTGATGAACCTGCACCAGCCTGAACTGTGAATATTTATGGAAGGTCAATTTTACTAGAAAGTAGCTACAAAATGGTGTTTTTTTCCTCTCTTATATTGTAACTCAAATACAATTAGAATGGCTGCTGTGTCTCACTCACTTCTGATTAGGTCATTGCATTGGTGCAATGTTGGTGTATGTGTTAAAAAATTATAATTTTAACATTCAAAACTTTTCTTTAATGTATGCAAAATTACAGATTATAATCAGGTTAGAACTAATAGTAATGTGCAAATGTTAGTTTTAATTGTTTATTATCAACGTAATAATGTGCACAGCAGGGAGAGGGGGTTCGTGATTCCTCTGAAAACTTTCTAAAGGGACCCATAACCTTATCTAATAAAACATGTTATGTCCTAAATGTTATTTCCCTGATAAATATGACATATCAATTGTAAAAATGCATTTTAAAATGTATAGTGAAGACACAACATATATGAAACTACATGAAAAATGTAGGCAAGTTATAATCAATCCCTCCCACAACAGCCCAAAAATTCAAAAATGGGCTGAAAATTTCTGTAAGAGTAAAATGCCATGTTACTAGAAAATGTTTAAGGGGTAAAGGAGCTCAAAAAAGGAGTGGACCCTATCAGGCTGTGCATACGTATGTTTCTCAAGAAATTCTAGATTCACAGTATGATAGTAGTTGCATATTTTTTTGGTATAACAAAATTAAATCTTTAATTAATCTGTCATTTTATGAGCTTTACTTGTGCATGTGCAAATGTGTGGTATTTATTGTGTAAATGTGTAAGCAGTTTTCTTTTTATCTTATAGCAATTCAAAGAGGCTCAAGAGGCATTTGAACGTGTTGTTGAACTGGATGAGGAGTGTGAAGATGCTGTGCATGAATTGAAATTTGTCAAACTGCAACAACTTCTAGAAATGGGTTACCCTGAGAAGCAGGCTTCAGCTGCACTCCAACAGTATCATTCTGTGCAGGTCAGTCTTTCTTTAATGTGATAATGATTCAGGACATTTTGCATTTTGGAAGTGGAATAACTTTGTATATTCTTGCATGGATTGTCTTATTTCTTATTAGCCCTTGAACTTCTGTGTGTTATTGTTGAAACTTGTTTGCAATACTTTTTAAATAAGCAATCTAGTATTTCAGAAATAGTATATTGTGAGTGATTTATTAAAATGCAGTGTTTTAATGATTGACAAAGTTTTGTGGATTCAGAACTCTGGCTATTTCACACCCCTTACTTTTTCAAATGAATTGGAAACAAACTTGACAGATCCATTACTTCAATTTGGTTTTCCAAAGTACTTCTTTGAACAATACCAAGGGCTTTCTTAGAGAATGTGCTGAGGAAATAGATATGTTCGTACCTTGAGACATCTGTCATAACCTGAGAGACTTGAAGCATTCTACCTGTCAGAAGCTAATGACCAAATTTTGCGAGATCTCATTGAAATGTACAAAACACTTCACAAAATTGAACCTAGACTATTTTTTGCACAATCCATAAAAGTTTTTCCTTTTGAGTCGTTGACCATTGGCTTCACCTACCTGTTGCTGTTATCAATGCTACCAGCATTCACACATTTTAAACAACCTTTGGACCAATTTTATACTGTTCGCTCTTGATTATCATGTTCCTTCTTTTTCATTGTTTCCTCTTCTTTTCGGTTTTCTTTTCTATTTTTTCCTATTTACCAAATTGTAATTTTATATTTTTTGTCAAGTGTATTTTTTTTATTGTGAATATATTCACCCGTTGCACTGCCAACCTTTTCAAGGAAGCTTTTGAGACAGAGGCCTTCAAAAATGCCTACCTTAAACCCGCAATGTGGGTCCATATGTGAACGATAACCTTTATGGTATGGCTCCGTGGACAGGACACTAGGAATTCCTTGAACACCTTAACAGCACTCGCTCCAAAATCAAATTCACATGGAGGTAGAAAAGAAACATATTACTTTCTTGGATGTCTTGGTTAGCAAATGTAACGACTGCAGCCTGAGGCATGTGGCTTACAGGAAGCCCACTAGCACAAACTGCCACCTTCATGGTGACTTGCATCCCCATCCAGGGACAAAGAATGGCTTACTAAAAAGTCATCATTCACATGGCGATAATCTGCAACCAGAGAAGCTTTCCACCAAATGGGAAATATTGATAAAAACCTTCATCACCAACGGCTACAACAGAGGCATGACCAATAAGACCCTAAAACTCACATATAATCCACCTACATCATGGGAAACCCACAACACAGTTACCTTGTCCAAGACAAAAGAGAATATACACACCTTACATCAAGGGCTTTAACTGACAGAATTGGTAAACTCCTTAGAAGTTTCCGGGTGAGGATGGTCTTTAGCACAGCCTACAAACTACAACAAACTTTATTCAAAATAATCTGCAATTCATCTCATTGTGGAGTTGAATTAAATCAATACTAATCTCACATTCCTGCTTCATATTATAATAAAATTTGAAATTGCTTGGGATGATTACATATTAAAGGCCAGTCTATGAAGTGTGCCTGACTGCTTCCAACTTAGCTAGGTGGTCATTGACAACAGGGAATATTTACATGTGCCTTATGGAAAAATCAATCTGTTCAGCAAAAAAAAGGCTGTTAGTGGAGGTGGCCATTTAAGCAGATTTCATTTCTTTAAAATCATGGTTAAAAAGAAAAGTTAAAAGTTAATAAAATCAATGACTCATTTCATTACACAAGCTTGTAAGTCTCATTGATTGTCTAAAGCAACTAGATTCAGAATAGTTGTGGAGTAATTACTAGAAGTGAATAATCAATAAACATATTAAAATTATTGAAAGTATTACTAAGTTTAAAAAAATTGGTAAATAATTATTTAAAAAAATACTAAATAATAACAAATTGCAAAAAATCAATAAAAGCAGCGACTTGTTTCATTACTAAAGCTTGAAATCTTACTGAATGTCCAAAGCAAATAGATTCAGAATAGTTGTGGAGCAATTACTTCATTGTTTCAGGTATAATAGTATATCATGACACTGGGCATGGAGAAGTATTATGCAACTATTCATTATTAAGTTAATACTTATTAAAATTTGTTAATTTATTTACAGGCTGCTATAAATGTATTGTCAATTAATCCAATCTCGGAGAACTATGTTAATAACTCTGGAAGGGAAGTCGATACCGAGATCTTCTTCTCAGATGAAGAAGAAAGTGTTGCAAGTGTTTCTTCATTGCAGCAGAATCAGGACACAGGTGGTCCACAGAATCTCCCAGTTATAAAAGCAAACAAGATGGAGTAAGTGGATACAACTCTCAAATATTTGTTACCAGTATTACTTAATATCATTTAATAAATAGTGTTTAATTGCTTTCATTTAATTTATGGAATGTTTATGCAAATGGAACGTTTTTTCCACTCTATTCTAATAATTTGAACTTGCAAACACACAGTCAATAAGAATCATGATCCTGGTTTTAATTTGTGATTAGTTACTTCCTGAAGGTTTTCATTTCTAACAACTAGCATTATTTATTTGTAGAAAATAAAGTGTGAAACTGATAGTATTAAGTGATATTTGAATAATGCTTAATAAAGAACACTTATTTGTTTCTTTTTATGGGTTATTTGTCTTTGTCTCGTTTTGTTTTTAGGTATATATTTATCTAGTGTATCTAATTTATAAGTTATGTATTTTCTGATTTATTTTTTTTTCCCTAGCCCATCAAATCCAGAAGGTCATTTGTCCTTGTGGGTGGGAAATGTGTCACAAGAAGTAACTGAGAAGCAACTAATAGAAATGTTTTCCAAGTAAGTGTAGGTGTGAAGAAAATAGAGAGTGTATGGTATGAGTTTCACACATACTGATGATTACTACTCTGTTTTCAGATTTGGAGTAGTATTAAGTGTTAGACTGCTGCCTGAAAAATATTGTGCCTTCATTAATTTCCGAGATAAGTCTTCTCCTGGTCCTGCAATGAAGAGTCTCCAGAATAGAGAATTGGGAGGAGAGAGATTGCTAATTCGGTATCCCAATAATCCAGTGCCTGAAGCTCATCAACAGATAGTTGTGAAGAAAGTCGTTAAGACTCCAGTTGCTGGGTAAGTTATGTTTCACTGGCACTCAGGATATCAAACTGTAACTACATTGACAACCAGATAGGTTTTTCCAATTTTTCCTGCATATGATATGAAGGGTTGTGGGCAATAGCATGGTAACTCACAATTTTCAAATGAAAGGAATAGTTCTGAATAGTGCCTTAGCTATTACTATAGCTCAATCTTTCCTTTTGAGATATGTTTTTTGAGAGAATGAAGCCAGGTGGTTCTTAAAACCCGGGGCGACACGTAGAGAGGGCAGCGGCATCAAGCGCCCTGATCAGGGCCAATGAGTCTATAACATAAAATCATCAATGCACATGGATGTACGCAGATATATGCACAATCCCATTGTACTATACCTATTCTTCCCGCAAGTGCAAGCAATAAGTTGAGAAAGTTTTATCACAATCGAATGACGGACAGTACAGCAGTGCATTAAGCACGAACCAACCAACCAACCAACCAAGAAACGAACATTGTCCTTTATATATTAGATTTATTATGTCCTAAGGGATTAGGGAGCCTCAAAACTTTGCATTTACACTTCGCTTGAAAATTTGCATTAGTTACTCCATGGTGAAATAATTACTTGTCACCTTTATGTGGGTCAGTTACCGCACGCATGAAGTCAGCTGCTCTCACAGTGTGTTCATAAGGGAGATGTGTTGTCCTTTTGTTGTGAGATGGTGGCCTGGGATTGGAGGTTGTCCTTAAGTGTGAAAGTAAAAGTATTATTCAAGGCAAGATTTTTGCACAAAACTCAGAAATGAATGAATGAATGAATGAATAAAGATATTATGACAATTCCTTTGAATGTTAAGAAGTCTTTTGCTTGTTATAATGAACATCAACTGGGGTAAGATTATTAGATTGTACTGTTACACCATGAAATATATGAAATTAATTTTTGTTTCTGATCAAATGCACAGAGTTCATTTATAAATATAGAACCAATGTGCAATTTTCTACATATAAGGAACAGTTATAAAGGTGTTCTATGCTCTTTAGTGCAAAATTTAGATTCCAAGTTCTGTGACAGATGAGTGTTCTTTACTATAAAATTTCTTTATGAGGAACTGTTTGAAACAGATGGTTATTAAATATTGTTGGTTTTACAGCAATTGATATCCATTTCTTGTAGAGATAGTGAATATTGCAAAGGCATTATTCAAGGCATGATTTTGCACAAAATTCAAAAGTGAATAAATTTATCGAATAAATGATTGGGCCTTGTGTGGCAGGGGAGCCAGAGCCCTTGGACACTAAGGCTGTCGGTTTGAAACCATACCCTGAATGTTTTTTGTGTTGTGTTTGAGGCATGGGTAGCACTCCCAATCCCTTGTGTTTTACATCTATACCATATACTCTCCATAATATCTTGGCCTGACAGGCAATGGAGTGCAATCAGTGTGTTTATTTAAGGAACTGGACCCCACGTTCAGAACAAAGGCATAAGCACGGAGATGGTGCCAAGAAACACCATAGACAAATGTGTAAAAGTATAGAACAGTTAGGTCTGTGTTTGGGTTGCGCAAACTTGTTCTTTATCACTCTCCAGAAGAGTGATAGGTACATCAAGAAACCCTGTCAGTCTTATAAATGCTGACTAGAATAGAAAACCAGCTAGTAGAATAAAGTCCAAATCATTCTGTAGCACCACCAGTTGTGTTCAATATACCATTAAGAACTAAACTGAATGAGATTGAATATGGAATAGGTTTTTGAAACACACAAGTTTGATGCTCTCATATTTGCTCTCAATAGTGTGCAAAATAAGTGCATTTGTTAATAATTGTTGTTTTAATAAAATGTGCTTTGTTTTAGGAGTGTGCAGACTAAAGTTACAGGCCCTGTGAATGGGGATGAGTGCCATTTCTGGAGGACAACTGGTTGTGCTTTTGGGAACAAGTGTCGGTATAAACATTTAAAAGAGAATAAAGGTATTGATAAGAAACCATGGCAGAAAGCATCATAATGCAACGAATTGTCTTCATTTGTACATTGGCTCTGTGCTTTTTGTGCCATTCGTTTTGAACACAATTTGATTTTATACACAGTGTTTATTCTGAGGGAAACAAGAAGGAAGTTAATTTCATCTTCAGTAAAAATTATAACTGCTGTGAACACAGGGTACCATGTAATAGAAACAAGTAAATATCTCAAGAATGTTTTATTTAAGTATGAGATGACACATTTGTTTGGAAAACAGTTTAATGAGTCTGAAGAGAACCTCTCAACTATTTTGTGCTTTGATTTACTTCTTCCTTTCTAAATAGAAAGTCACACTTTCTTAGTGTTATCAAAGTCTCCCAAAATGATCCAGGAACTTTTTGTTGGTAACTTTCTTAACATGCTTGCCCCATTTTTATGGAAAAGTGTTGTTTTAAAGGTTGGTCATGCAATACAGTTATCTTCAAATTATTAGACTAAAGCTTTTATGGTGATACTATTTTTATTTATTGGTAATTTTCAAGAACTTTATACTAATACTTTATATTAATACTTATTCTGCATGCCTTTGGTATTTAGCAACATTTTTATTCTTTTTGGCATCATTGTTTTTGAATTTTTCATAGTATTTGTTTCAATGTAGTGAGACCAATTATCTTCAAATTTACACAGTATGTATTGTTGTCTTTATTTTTATTACTTTAAAATGCCAGCAAATTTGTTATTGGTTACATACTTGGACTGTCTTCAGACCATGGTTAAATCCCTTTGTTGCAAATATAGTTCTGCAAAAATGGAGATCCTCTTGGTTTCATTGATAAGGATCTGTATCATTCATGAATCCATCAGAGAAAATCGGAACATACTATCATAAATAAAATTTTGCATCCAATACTTTCTATGATGAAATAAGTGAAAATTGGTCTTGAGTCTAGTAATTTGAACAAATCTTTTATTTTTAGCGAGTGAACTAGCAAGACTACCCAACGATGTATTGTAATTCTATGTTGCAAAGCATGACAGCAAGTATTAAAGGAGCATCATTGCTAACACTTTATGATAAAACATTGGTGATTATGAATTTGAAACAAAGAATAATTCAAATCTATGTATATGATTGTGTTTTTGAATCATTATGTTGCCAACCATATTTCAAATGACATAACTGAAAAGCATCCGTTCTAAAGCAACTTGCAACAAGCCTTTTTCAGAACTGGTACTTAATTTTTCTGGGCCTTTATGAAATAATCTTGTAAATATTATAGAATACATGACCTTCACCTTTAACTACAAAGCACTTAATTTATGTAAACCCTTCTCAGAACAATCATCTTGTGTCTAAAGCATCTATCTTATTTCATTTTTGAGATATTCACTTGAGTCCATTTAAGGGGAATATTCCTTAATGAGTTTACGTAAACTTTATAATAATACTAAATAATATTTCTGATAAGAGTCCTTGTGAAATCCCTGAAATCATATGATAAATAATATTCACAATAATTTTGAACAATATTAAAATTATATTACCTATGATTAACATTCTCACATTTTATGCAGTGTTTGTGTCGTATATTCACAGTTCAGATATTATGACAATTCCTTGCAATGTCAAGAATTCTTCTGCTTGTTCTTCTGAATATCAACTGGGTTAAGCTCTCATTAGTTTGTACTGTTGCACCATGAAATATATGAAATTAATATTTGTTTCCGAACAAATGCACTGAGTTCATTTATAAATAAAGAACCAATGTGCATTTTTCTACATGTAAGGAACAGTTATAAAGGTGTTCTATGTTCTTTAGTGCAAAATTTAGATTCCATGTTCTGTGATAGATGACTGTTCATTACTATAAAGTTTCTTTCTGAGGAACTGTTTGAAAGAGATGGTGATGAAATATTGTTGGTTTTACAGCAATTGATATCCATTTCTTGTAGAGATAGTGAAATTGAATATTGCAGAAGTATTATTCAAGGCAAGATTTTGCACAAAAATTCAGAAACTGGAAATAACAGTGACTATGATAGTGCTTTGAATATTGGTAGCTAATAATAAAAATAATAATCTAGAACGTAGCGTAAAGGTGGATAAAGATGTCATTGTATAAATATTTTCATAGTTTCATAAATTAGTGTTATTTTAAAATTTGAAAATATTTCATCTCAAAATTCTGAAATTAAGATTTTGTAAGTTTCTTAATTTTCAAGCTCTTTTTATTTGATTTTCCATACCCTCAGTACATATAAAAAGTTTGTAGTACAAATGTTTGAACCCTTTTACAAGAACCCTTTTGGAACTGAGATTTATATTAGTATTTGATCATTAAAATTATATAATTTATGACATAAGTGTGCTTATTGTGTGCATACTTGATTTACATGTTTGGTTTGGGAATATTTTTATACTGGTCTTTAACAACTGATAAGTTTGAGTTAAGGTAACATCATAGGGTTGGTAGTATTTGAAAAATAGGTCAGTTCAATCTTGCTGATCCAAACCACAATGATGTAGCAGAGGCTTTGGCATTCTAAGGCTGTGATAGGGAGACTCAATGAAGCTGTTAAGTCAAGGACCTCGCATAAATGTAACAAAATATTGAAGTAGCATTTCATGAGGTGAAAGGTGTAGGCATGTTTCTTTGAAATGAAAGATAAAATAGAAAATAAATATGTCCCTTTCTTTTAGTGTATTGTTTCAATTGCAAAATCTTAAAGGAACAAATTTGAATCATTATGTAAAGTAGATATTTTTAATACAATATTCTTTGACTATTTTTAGATTTTCATGTTTTTGCCATTTTATTTTATTTTGTAGCTTTTGCAATAAATTATTTGTTTGGTATCATTATTAATATCACTAATATTGCTATTGTTATTAATTTTATTTTTATGAATGTATTTTTGTACATTAGTCGTTGAGGATTATCAAGGTTGTACTGAATCTGATATGTCATTTAGATAGAACAACAACTTCCATGGGATTTCAGAATTGTTTTGTGTAGATGTAAATATTACTCAATAGTTTGTAGGTGTTTTATATTGCTTTTTGTTCTT